AAAAAGGAAAATTCAGTTGTAGCTGTAGTTTACATAGTTGGGGAGTAACTAGTTACATGTAATGGAGTTATAAAACTAATCTTACAGTTACTGAGAAAAAATATGAAAACTTATGAAAATGTTAACGATTACAAAGGAGGATTACATCTGAATATTTTCACACACAGAGATTGGATTGATTTCTTTCCCAAAAAATATGAGACGCCAATGTTTCAGGAGTTTAGGACACATGCATATTCAATAACTTGTTTTTTTTTTTTAAGATTAACTGTTTTTTTCCAAGGCATTGTTAGATGCCAGTGTCTCCTGTTATAACTATGCAAAGATTTAATAAAAAAAAAAAACGGTACCATAGCTATTAAACTATACCTTATGATTTTAAAGCAGTATTTAACCTCAGAACGATCTCAAAGTAAAAAGAGGTGCTAAAGTCTGATTTTGTGGTGGCTGTGCTTTAAAATTAAATTATTATAATCTTAATTCAAGTGATATGAAGGTCTGACAGTAATCAGTGTTGAGTGCTACAGTAAGGTTAACCCTGCCTGCATTAAATGTTTGAAAATTAATAATGGGAAATTTAGAAAAGTAATCCAAAAGTAACCAAATGTAATCAGTTACATTAATAAAGTAATTGAAAGTTACACTACTTATTACATTTCAAATAGGCTAACTTGTAATCTGTAATCTATTACATTCCCAAAGTAACCTTCCCAACACTGTTAATTTAGTATAATAACCCTGATTCTGAGAACCATAGCGATTCTGGACCAGTAAGTGTATGTTGTGTCATTGGCAATGACCAGGTCTCACGCTAAGCTCAAAAGCCAAGGACAAGCTAACAAATCAACCAGCACATGCTGCAAAACACAGATACTCTGAGTCTCTGCTCCTTCCAAGATCCTGCTAAAGCCTCATCATTCTGCTACACTGAGGAGGAGCCAGCCACCTCACACCAGACCTCCTGATCAAACCTTGGCAGATCGTTGCTAAATCTCGCTTATTTGAAACACTGAATGTGACCTTTTGATTGCACCAACAAATCCTCTCTCAGTGTTTATTGTGTTTGGAGGCTGCTGCTTGTGAGAATGTTATCGTTCCAGTGCTGCAGTCAAAAAAGTCCAGCAGATATAATGCTGGGATACTAGGAGCTGACTCTATCCTAGTGAAAAATAAATATACTACAATGCATTTGAAATACATTTATTTCATGCTAAATACTACAATACATTTATTTATGGACTTGATCAAAATACCCTGTATTGTACTTTTGGTATACTAAACGGTTATACTTAAAAGTATGCTAAATTGTAAACTAATCTTCGTCCTTAATGCACTTTAATTGTGCAGAAGTGGTGCTGAAGTCCAACTAAAGATATACTTAAAGGGATAGTTCACCCAAAAATGAAAATGTGATGTTTATCTGCTTACCCCCAGGGCATCCAAGATGTAGGTGACTTTGTTTCTTCAGTAGAACACAAACGAAGATTTTTAACTCAAACCGTTGCAGTCTGTCATTCATATAATGGAAGTGAATGGGAATCACAGCTTTGAGAGTAAAAAAAACATACACAAACAAAACCAAATTAAACCCTGCGGCTCGTGACGATACATTGATGTGCAAAGACACGAAACGATCGGTCTGTGCAAGAAACTGAACAGTATTTATATCGTTTTTAACTCTGATTCTGCACAATGTGCGAACTGTCCTGAGCACGTTCTCGACAACCGGCGTGTGACGCGTCTTCTTCTTGCTTTACGGCGGATCGCAGACTTATAAGTGCATAACCGCCACCTATCTCTCAAATATGGACCATTGACTCCTAATTGAGATTGTAGATAGAGTGTCCATGGTCCATTTTGAGTGCTCAGTACAGTTCGGACATTGCGGTGAATCAGAGGTAAAAAACGATATGAATACTGTTCAGTTTCTTGCACAGACCGATCGTTTCGTGTCTTTACACATCGATGTATCGTCACGAGCCGCAGGGTTTAACTTGGTTTTGTTTGTGTATGTTTTTTGACTCTCAAAGCTGTGATTCCCATTCACTTCCATTATATGACTGACAGACTGCAACAGTTTGAGTTAAAAATCTTCGTTTGTGTTCTACTGAAGAAACAAAGTCACCTACATCTTGGATGCCCTGGGGGTAAGCAGATAAACATCACATTTTCATTTTTGGGTGAACTATCCCTTTAAGTATATTTGATTGTGCTAAAGTGGAACTATTGCAAGTATACTTCAGGTACACTCTAAATGTATTGTGTTTAAAGACCGATATTATTCAAAGATCATACAGTCCTCATCAATAGTGACCATTCAAAACACATTTTAGGCTTAATATTAAGAAATGTGCACTGTACACAAGTAGTACTGCAAATAAAGTTGAATTATAATTTTTATATTCGTAAGTCTCGAGTGATATGCCAGTAAATATGTTAATAGATTTGAACTATACTTGGTAAGAAATAAATGTATTTTAAATACAGGTATATCACTTTTTTACTAGGGTAGTCAGAAACGGTAAGACACACACAGTCAAGGGCGACTTCAAAAAAAAGATTGTAATTTTGACAGTAAAACACTGTTAAAAACGCTACATTAAAAACCTGTTAACTGGTTAATGGTTAATTTCCCTTATTTATATGATGAAAAATTGTAAGTAATAGGACATTTCAGGAAATTTTACAGTAAATACTGTTAAATCTACAGTTTTGGAAGTGAAAAAGAATTTTATAAGTGTATATTATGAAAAGCACTATACAAATAAATGTGAATTGAATTGAACTGAACAGTGAAAACCTGTAATTTGACATTCCCAGAATTCCCTGTGTGATACCTCACATTTTATGGTCTTTCACTGAAATAACTGTAAAAAAAAAAGTGAACAGACAAGAAAGTAGAAGGAAAAATGAGGAATAACTACTGGTAAAAAAAATATTATGTTTTCAAAGGAAAATTTCGCTTGCATAATTGTATTAAATGTGTTTTTGAATTGAAAGACATAATAAAGTATAAAAAAAATTAACTATCAGTTATGTACATTTGGGTTTTATATTACATCTTGTGGTGTAATATAAAGTAATATTTATTGCATTATTTTGTTGTGCGTATGACACCGACCACCTTCCATATATTAGTATTTACTTCAGCTTGTGGAAAAGTTATTTGTGATGAACTTTGATTCATCATGGGACTTTCTATTTATGTTTTATGGTGATTGTCTGTATAATATAAAGGTAAATAACACATTTTAGTAGCTTAGTATATTAGCATTATTTCAGTTTTTACTGTAAATTTAATTTCAATCTGTAAAACTAGGTGGTTGCTTGGCTTGACAGAAGACAGGGATTTCTGCACACTTGAGCCAGCAGAAGAGAAAGCGAGAAAGAAAATGAGATCTTTGTGCGCTGAAACAAGGCTTTTGGCAGCAGGCTTGTGAATGCCAGCTGTGGCTCTGAGAGGGATTAGGAGCTTCATCTGCTGCATTCTGGAGACTCCAGGATCAGGTGGGTCTTGTTTATCCCTTCAGCTTCTCGAGGAGTGGGAGAAGAGTGGAGGAAATCACAGATGCTACACTCATCAATACATTTCAAGAGGCCTTCTGCACAGAGCTGATCTAAAGAGCTGAGCTCCAGCGGACCCACAACATCACCACAAAATCCGCTCTCAGATAATCAATAGCACCTGCATGTAAACGTGTAATCTAGCAGATACTAACATTTTAAACGGATAGTTCCTGTTCTGGATGTTGATTGGGTAATACAGCATTAGTTGTGCTATTGGAGCTCATGGAGCTGGTGTAGAAAAATCCACAAATGGAGCTGATGGTCTTTAATTCGAAAAAGCATTGAATCATTTTTCCATTCATTTAATTGATTGTTTTTCCACGTTTCTTGTCATTTTTGACATTAGTACTGTATATCCCTCTTTAAAAGGTTTCCATGATTCAAATGCCTGGCTATTTTCTCTCAGATATCAGTATATTAGATGAGACCATTTTAGTACACATCGTTTTTACTTATGCCTTATTTCTAACGCAATGTTCATTTAATCTGGAAAACAGCTGTGGCACATTATCAGAGCTGTTGATGGGCTGGAACGATCTCATACCAGAAAAGAGAGTGGTCTCAGACTGCCAGAGCAGCTGTTTGGGGTTTGATCCTGTTGATGTGCAACAACCTGTAACCTGCACTGATTCAGATTCGGAGTTTCTTGTAAAAGTGAAGGGATGGTTCTGTTACTATTCAGGCTAATGAAGGTAACAGCATAATTTCAGCATGAGCTCTGCATTCAGTCTGGAGAACAAAACACTAATGAGCTGCTGGAGGAGAGAACTTTGAGAAACCATGTTCTTTAGAATAGAATAGAATAGAATAGAATTAGAAATCTTTATTGTCACGTAATGAAAGTACTGGATGTTGTTGTAAGTATTTACAACAAAGGCTTTTTGCAGTTTTGGTTCAGATTATTACATTCATATTGATACAAATGCCACGAAATCTTAAAAGACTTTCATATTTACATTAAAAAAAAAAAACTTTTATTTGGTAAGGACACATTGAATTGATCAAAAGTGACAGAAAATACATTTATTATGTTACAAGAGATTTCTATTTCAAATAAATGCTGTTCTTTTGAATTTTCAATTCATCAAGGAATCCTGAAAAAAAGAATGTAGCTTCCACAAAAATGTGAAGCAGCACAACTGTTTTCTACACTGGTAATAATCATAAATGTTTCTTGAGCTGCAGATATTAGAATGACCATGTGACACTGAAGACTGGAGTAATTATGCTATAAGCATAATCATATATAAAGCATATTTACATATCGCAAAAACACTTCAGTTTGTTTTTAATACTGTAGTGTCGCGCTGATGATCTGTGGAGTGCGGTGATGCGAGGTGAGGCGGGCTCTAGGACCTGAGTGAAACCCGCCACAGAGCTACTCTCAGATCAGTCTGGAGAGAGAGAGAGAGAGAGAGAGAGAGTTCACTGCGCACGGCTTCATCATCATCATCATCGCCGACAGCGCATTACACACGGAGCTCAGAGCCGCTCATGATGCGCAGGATTCGGGCCAACGCCATCCTCATCCTCACCGTGGCCTGGATCCTCGGCACCTTCTATTACCTGTGGCAGGACAGCAAACCTTCCTCCTCCTCCTCCTCCTCCTCCTCGGGCTCCCAGCTGAAGAACCACGGGAGGCTGGAGGAGCGCACTCTTCCTCTGATCGTGAGTGATGATGATGATGATGATGATGAGGGGCTGCATGCTGATTACTGCTGTAATGCATGCGTTTATCTATGTTCTGATATATGAAGCGAGTGTGTGTGTGTGTGTGTGTGTGTGTGTGTGTGTGTGTGTCAGCGTGATGTCAGGTGCATGTAAGAGGCTTTTCCTTAATCCAGATGCTGGTGTGTGTGTGTGTGTGTGTGTGTGTGAGAGATCCATGTTTCCTTTGTTAGGATTTAACCTACTATAAACCCTTGTCCCTTATCAGTAACTAATCCAATAGAAATGTAATTATCATTTGTTCTGGATTCACATTGGGATTTCAATTCAAATTTGGAACTAGTTCTAACAGACTCTAATGAGTATTTTTTTATTATTATAGATGCCAGCATTCCAAAAACTAGATATTTTAGATCATATAATTAAACATAAAATGTTCAAACTTCACCCTGTATAGCCTGACACATGAAATAATACTAGTCAGAAAAAGCTACAGTTTTGAAATGAAACAGTTTATTGAAACTTTAGACAAAATATATATACTGTAAAAGAGTTTGCATATGTTTCTTGTTGAGTATCATATTTGACACATCAGGCTCATCTACGTAGTATGATATAGTGAGAATATGGAGGGGGGGAAAAACAGTTCAGTTTTATTCAGAAGTACAAACTAAGCAAAAATATGTAATTTGGTGCACATGTTAATATATTTAGAGTAAGATGAAATTCTGATAGCCAGCCTGTAATGTAATATTTATAACAGTATAGCAGATACTGACATCAAATTATATAAATATCATAAATATGTTGATTGTGTGCAACAGGTTTTTGATCATGTTGATCATTTAGAGGCCTTAGAAATTTTTGAGTATCATATTTGACACATCAGGCTCATCTACGAAGTATGATATAGTGAGAATATGGAGGGGGGGGGAAAAACAGTTCAGTTTTATTCAGAAGTACAAACTAAGCAAAAATATGTAATTTGGTGCACATGTTAATATATTTAGAGTAAGATGAAATTCTGATAGCCAGCCTGTAATGTAATATTTATAACAGTATAGCAGATACTGACATCAAATTATATAAATATCATAAATATGTTGATTGTGTGCAACAGGTTTTTGATCATGTTGATCATTTAGAGGCCTTAGAAATTTAATACAGTAGGCTTTATGGGCTAATTAATTCATATAAAATACTACCCAACCTGACTGATTGATATTGTTGAAAGATCTGCTTCTAATATACCGCTTGGAATGATTGTGAGTCATCTGTGCTTGTTTTGCTCCTCACAGTTTGACTCCACATTCATCAGGTAGAGTGCAAACGCTCCTCAGACGTCTGCTGGCTTGCAAAAAGGTGTAATATGCAAAGTATTATGATTTCTATCCAAATGACTCTATACATGCAGAAATGTCACAGAATCAGTGCGTGCATGTGTCAAACCTCAGGAGAGGTGTCCCTGAACTGTGTCCTGAGCTCCATGGCAACAGAATATCACTCTGTATAAAGCACCAAAAACACATCGGCACTGGAGCCTTGGAGCAGAAAAACTATATGTCTATCATAACACATGGATTTTTTTACCACTGGTTTCATAATAATTACAGATCATTCTGGAGGCTGGAATACACTACGTGACTTCTGCCCTGAGTGATTTCCCCCCGATATACAGTCTGGAGAAGTTGACGCTACTGCTGAAAAATAGAGCCGGTCTGTAGATTTGAGTTGACAGATTTTATCGAAAATTGCGTAGTGTATGATGGCTAGTTTTTCTTCTGTGACTATTTACAAAATCGATGCCCAGTGTTTCAAAATCTGTTCATGTAGCGTATTCCAGCCTTTTGGTAAAATGGACTGTTCAATGGCCAATTCCACAAACACTGATCTCTATATTATCACCTTTAATGAGTTGGAGGGCTAATATAATGCCGATATATATTTCTGTGTATTATATATATTCTATTTATTTATATTGGCTAATGCAGTTTAATTACAGCAACTGTGATGTACAGATATGTGCTGAAATTTAATGGAAAATATTTTCATACAAAATTTACAAAAAACATTTTAAATTATTCAATATTTGACAAAATTAAAAAAAAAAAAAAAAATTAGACAATTTTGTGATGATAATAATAATAATAATAATAATGTTGTCATTATTAGTAAATAAAAATATAAAAATGACTGAACAAACAAAAATATTACTGTATTTCACTGTAAAATTAAAAATGGAGTATTTAAGAAAAATAATATAGTAGTGACAATGACAATAATTTTATTTTACAGTACAACATTGCAATACTAATCTGTATGGCTCTTTTAATTTCTTAATTATCAAATATTAAACCGTCAAACTTTTATTTTGACCGAGGAAGCCCTTTTTTGATAATAAAATATTTGAAAATACGCTGAAAAAAATGATTGATTGAATTTACTAAATGTTTTAAGGTAAGTGGTTGCAATCAATTTATTTTAGCTACATTTAAATAAACCAATTTAGTTGAATAACTTAAAAAAAAAAAAAAAGTATTTAAATGCAGCTAAAATAAATTGTTTGCAACCACTTACCTTACAGTTTTTCTCAATTGCTAACACACTATAACTGATTCATTTGGCACAATTTTCCAAACCATTCCTACAGTTCCTGAAACAAAGACACGTTTCTCAAAACTTTTAACACATTTCACCTGTTTTCATACACGCTCAGTGTTTTCAGCTCAACTCTACACAAGAACGGCATCATTTTGCACAGGTTTAACCATGTTCTCATTTAGAAAACACAAACACACAATATAGCTACCTCAAGAATCACAATATAAACTCAAACAGCACACATGTATCCATGTGTGAACATTCAGTAGCAAAACTGATGACACAGCAGTCAGAATCTCAGGATGATATAAAAAGGAGCACAGGTGATTATGTGATTTTGAAAATGAATCCTATTAGTGGGAGACAAAGAGGAAGAGGAGGGGAAAAGAAAACTGAAGGGGACGGGGGTCAAAGGACATTTATTCCTGATGAAATACACAGACAGCGCTGTAGTTGATCATGTTCTTGTGCATGAGGACAGCTGGATAGAATCCTGATTGCATCTCTTGTAAGAATCGTTTTTAAGCTGAAAGAAGTGGAGACTCAAGCTGTGAGCTGGAGATACAGCGTGAAGCACTCATTCGCTGAGAGAGAGCGACCTCGCTTTCCATTTCTGAAGAAAGCAGAAACAGAGGTGAAAATCCCTCTGCACTCCATAAACACTCTCAGAAAGAGCAGCAGACGCTTCTGAATGCACTCAGCAGTCCTTTATCCAAACCTCTGTTCATAAACCTGCTGTGACTTTACTTCAGAAGTGCAATCACCACGAACAGGCTCTGTCCTACACAATCATCCTGCCAGTATATCACATATATTAGTATCTTACACCTACACAGTTACTGTAAGAACGCATCAGTATTTATCGCCATTTGATAGATGGACTTTCTGCATGAGTTTTGTGAGATCTACACTTGCTTTTGCATCATGTGTCTCGGTAGAAGCTCATCTGTTATGCCTGTAATGTTGCTTCCACTTCAGCATTAATTAATAATTATTTTATTTTTAATATTTATTTTTAATATTATTATCAAAATTACAATATGGCTTAGAGTGACTACCAAATCAAAAAGACTGCAATTTATTTAAATAATAATTTGATTTAAATAATAATAATAATAATAATAATAATTATTGTATTTTAAATATTTTTTATAAATATGTAATATTTATTTTTAATATTATTATCAAAATTGCAATATGGCTTAGAGTGATTACCAAATCATAATAAATAATAATTTGATTTAAATAATAATAATAATAATTATTATTATTATTATTAATATTATTATTATGACTAATTAATATATTTTTTCATTTTTATTAGTTCTTTTAATATTTTTTTTATAATTTTCTTTTATTACAGTTTTCGTTTTTTAACATCAAGTTAAACTAAATTAAAATGAGAAATGTGGCATTGGTAACTATCTGAAATAAAATAAATGACATTTTTATATAATTTATTTTATTTCAGTTAAATTATTTTTTTTATTTTGAGAATTTTTTTAAGTATCTGGTTTTAGTTTTTGTTACAGGAAGCTTGATTTTGTAGAAAGAATTTAATATGCTCACTAATTTGCTTTATCGTATAATAACAGCAAACACACTCTCTCAATCAAGCCTTCAGTCGAGTCGGGTTTGTGTTGTGTGTGTCCAAGCTGTTGGCTGTTTATATGCATCAAATGGACAAGTACAACAAAATCAAACCAGGCCATTAGCAGAACGCCACTAATACTGTATCATCAGTTTGTGCATGGGAGCAACATGCAAAGGATGCTGGGAAATTTTTTTTGCAAATATTGCTCACTCACTTTTGCATAAAAGGCACATCTAATAAATCCACTGCGGTGCTTTGTGCATCTGTAACTCTTCCTAAACAGATCCAAACAGAACACAAGAGAGATGCTTGCGCTGATATTTCAGTATTTGTTCCCCTCATAAAAGAATATTAGGCGAGACTGATACGCTGCAAAAGGCCTCAGTAAAGGCAGCATCTGCTATTGGCTCCGGGCAAATAAATAAATGCGTTGTGCAACAATGCTCCTGAGACGCTGTCCATAAAAAGCCTGAATTACTGCTGTGATAAAGCACCAATTTATCTCTAAACACACAGACTATCCTTTTCTTTCAGGACTTGTAAATGCACTTCTGTCATTAATAGAGTGAAAGGGCTCATGGCAGAGAGGACAATCATTTCATCTTATTTTACAGGCAGAGGCACGGATACAAGGGTAGATCAGATATCAAAGCTGGCTAATGGACAGCGGATTATACTGGAGCTAAAGTAGAGAATTACTATAAGCTCACAGCGGTCAGCACGGCCGAATGCTCATTAGCGAGGCTCTAATGTTTGAGCATTTTAAGATGATCAGCATTCAGTGACAGTAGCATTAGCTTGGTTACAAAATCTACCAATATCCTCTAGCATGGCAGCAGAGGATGAAACTGCAGGCTTTAAAATAACCCATTATTCACTGACTATAGTATGGAAGCTTATTTCCGCCATAAAAAATATTCTGTATCTTAATTCTATATAAAATAATTCTGTATCTTGCCATTCTGATTTTATATCTCACAATTCCTATATCTTAGTATTGGAAGAAAAGTGAGAAAAAAAAAAGTTGTAATTACCTTGGCAGAATTGTCCTATGGTAGAAATGGACTTCCATAATCAGTAAAAAATGGATTCTTTTTACACTAAAAAAGAAAAATGATACAAATTTGTTTTACAGTTTTTCTCGATTGCTTAAACACATTTCTTGAAACTAAAGGAGGTGAGCACGGATATAAGGTTCTCGGTCATACACTTTCCTCCTCCATGCCGAAAAAAACTCCTCTATCAGGTTTAGAAAGGGAGAGTATGCAGGCAGAAAGATGTTAGAAAACCTTGGGTTATTGGTAAACCAGTCACGAACCAGAGCAGCGTGTTTTAGCAATCGAGAAAAACTGTAATACTTAATACCTATTTTAACTAAAAAATATGCATCAATCCAATTAACCAAGTTTACATCATGTACTACTATAAAAAACAAACTAAATATAGTAATAGAAAACTGCATTGAGATGTATTTACTCGCCCTGGTGTTGTTCTAATGCCACATGTGACCACAAAAGGATTTTAAATAATGTCATCCATATAAGTAAACAGTGACCAGCTTCAAAAAGAGTGCAAAATGAATGCAACGATTGAATTTTGAGTTTTAGGTGAACTATTCCTTTCAGCATAACAAACCACAAAAAATAATCAAGCAAGTCTTTGGTTGTTTTGTTCAGCGCTAGTTACTTGATCTAAGAACATTTGTTACAGTTCACTGAAAAATGGTTTTGTGGCCTAGTTTGCCTCGTCCCAGCATGCGCCAGTGCATTGAATGTTGAAAATGGTTGTATTGTTTGATTATTTTCTACTTTTATTTACATTTGTGCTTGACTTTGTTGTTATGGTAGCGTATTGTCAAGATGTGTTTGTTTCTTTACTCAAAATCATCTGTTTTGTGGCTCAGTTGACTGTTACCCCTGTCATGGTTCATGAGGTCTGTGTGTGGAATTTTAATGTCTTTGGTCTCATGAGTATCACGTGATGAAGCATTTCTCATAGAGGAGAACTTCTATACGCACATCAGACTGAGAAAATACAGAACTCAGACTGAGAAAATACAGAACAATGTAAAGTTGTGTTTTTCCATTGACATCACCAGTGGATAATCCAGCATGTGTGTGTGTGTGTGTGTGTGTCAGGTAACTCATGCACCAAAGCTGGAGCAGCAGGGTCAGCTCTTTGGCCAGTTTGATGAAAAGACTTTTCTATCCAGTAAGCAGCTGAAAGCAGGTGAGGATCCGTACAGAGAGCATGCGTTCAACCTGCAGGAGAGCGACCGGCTCGGCAGCGATCGCACCATCAGAGACACACGCCACTATCGGTAAGATAGTCATTTAATTAAGCATTCAGCTAGCAGTAGTAGTGTAGTACTTTCAATTCTGTTTAACATATTTTACCATGTGTAAATCCATTTCTGGTGATCCTGCCATAGTGTGCTCACTGCTCAGCCATGACAAAGAAAGCCCTGACTCGCCCTGTCTGTGTTTGCTGCATTCACAGATGTGCCTCCATGACCTTTGACCTTGACCTGCCACCCACCAGCATCATCATCACTTTTCACAATGAGGCGCGCTCCACCCTGCTGCGCACTATTAAAAGGTAACAGCCTACACTGCAGAGTTTTCCAGAGCTGTACTGGACCCACTGACATTCAGCAAGAACCTGCAACTGTTACCTTAAAGAGCTGTTTTGGATTTAGCCCAAAATGTATCTGCGGCTTGAATAAAAACTGTTAATATGGATGTTTCCATTTTTAGGTTACAATTTTCAATGTAGCTCAAATTGGCTTTCTACGTAGTACATCAGAAATTACAGTTTAAGGGCCGAATTTCCAACAGCTTGTGCCAGCGCAAACCCTCTCTTGGTGTTAAAAAACTGAAGACGCACAGAGAAACATTAGTGATGAAAAGGCACAGACAGTCTTTTTTTGCGGCTGGCCTTATTGCATATGCATTTGTAGGAGTTTTCCATTCAGACACAACATTTATGGGAGGAGAGTCTTCAAATAAATCTTGCTAGGTGATTTACTAAGGGTACTGGTATTTGCACCATTAGTTAACGTGCAAATGTCTTAACCCACCTTGTGCTGTGCTGTTGGTAGATTACACGCATCTGATTATCATCAGCTCTGTTTGTTTGTGACCCTACGCATGTTTGCGCTGCTCTTGCGTTGGTTTTTATGGAAATGACCTGGCTGCTTTTGTGTTTTTTAATTTGTAGATCACCCGCAGAACTTTCTACTCCCCTCTGTGCTTTTATGGGTTTGTGGTCTCATGCGAATTTACCCTGTTTAGTAAATCTGGCCCTAAGTGCCACAGTGTGCTGTTTGTGGCTGATAGTGTGGTGTAGGGCTGTCAAAATGGCTGAAAAACTAAATTCGAATTTTGTACTTAAATATTATCAAAATTCGAGTTATATTCGAATTTAAAATGCATATTTTCAGTTAGGGTGAAGAAAAGCTTTTGGTTTCTCTTCTGAGGCCAAAAGAGGGCGCATCGAGCAAAATATTACTAATGCACGTTTCTTCAAAGCATGAGGACTGTTTCCTGGGAGAGTAGACTACAATGCCGTCTACACACAAAGGCTATTTCTATAAAGTGGGGCAGTTCCAACTTTGCAAGGACAGTCTAGCGCTTCTGACTCAGAGCCTGTAAATAAGTTTTCATATTAAAAGAATTTGCCACTGACGATTCAAACGCGAGTTTTGAGCAGTGTAGAGTAGGGCTTGTTGTTTGTCATTTCTCCGATCACAAATGCAGACATGGTTTTATGTTTACGCAGCGCGATGCAATGCAATGCGTAAAAAGACAGTATAAGTCATTATAATCTGTAATTATGTCCCCACTGGATGCAACAAATGCCTCGTTTATAATGGGTTTTAATGTTTTTGTCTCATCGCTCCGGGACACGGCATCACAGTATGGTAAGGGGCGTAACATTTCCGTAACACGCTTGAGGTATTCGGCCAATCACAATGCACTGAATAGCTGGCCAATCACAGCACACGTCGCTTTTCAGATCGATGAGCTTTGTAAAAATCCACAAAATAATGTTCTTTTTAGCAACGTCATATGACCCCTTTAATACAAAGGACGGAAAGCCAATCACACAGAGTACATTTTTCATTTAAAAACATGAGATGCAGTGGGATGGGGAAAAAACCCGCCATAAAGTCTCAATATGTTTTTTTCAAAGTTGAACTTACATCAATTTTACATGGCTTTCTAAACATACGGCTTTCTTGTGCGAGACGCGAGTGCAACAGTGATAGATGTCCCTCTAGAAAATGCGTGAAATATGCATTCTGTGTGAACGGCTTGGTTTCAGTTTTGATGTAAACAAGATCTTCTCCGCATTGATGTTCTCTTTTTCCACAATATTTTGAATGAACAAAGCAGCAGTGCCACATCTAGTGGCTTCAGCTGGATAGGCTAACAAAAACATTATAATGCAACGACACTTACATCGTTATCGCATCTCGTGCGCCACTGATAAGGCTGCCTCCTTAATGCACACCTAAAATTCGAATGCAATGTTTTTGCATGTGGATATTTATTTTAAATTCGACGAATATTCAAAAAAAATTTTGATAGCCCTAGTGTGGTGAGAGTGTATTTTACATTGCCATGTTCAAATCAAATGTGTTGAGGACGTCATGAAGTTTCAGACTGAAACTTTGACATTAAGTTGCAGTAAATCTGTGTTTAAATCTAAACCAGGTCATGCAACAACATGAAAGGGTTAAAACCATTTTCTGTAGAAAATACAAGTAGTGCTTCCACAATTCTGTTGTCTGTTTCCAAGGTGTTACTATGTGATTGTCAAGGTCCCTTGTGAAAATGAAGTGCACTAAATTGTTCACAATGTGCACTTGTAGTGTACTTCAAATCTTAAAAATATATCCAAAGTTCTGTTAAGAAACTCTAGATGGCGCAGTCCGATGGGTCTAACTCAATCTGACATAATGACGTCATCACATGGTGCAGCTGATTGGTTCTTTTTGCTTCCGCAGCCAATGAGCTTGCTGCTCAACATTCAAATATATGACTAGTGCTTGCAGTTTGCTTCAGAAACCCTCCACCTTCCCCAGCTCCACCTGTATAGATCGGCTACGAGGATTCATGTATGCTAGATATGGGGGTTATTCATATATATGTTAAATGTGCAGCAGCAGTATTTCTTACATTACCACACATTCTCTTCACTTAATAAAGCTGTTGTAGGTATACCTTAGCTTTATTATAGTGCATTTATCTCTGTTGTTTTTGTTTCAGTGTACTGATGAGAAGTCCTCCTCACTTGATACAGGAAATTATTCTTGTGGACGACTTCAGCTCTGACCGTAAGTAGAGCTTCACGTCATTGCAGCACAAGAACACACACACACACACACACACATATGAAAGCAGGGAATGATGACAAAGTGTTTCCTGTGTGTGTATGTGCTCATATTTGACCTTTGACGACACGTTAGCTGTGGAGGTCGTTGTAAATATTGCTCATTCTCTGTACATCAGTGAGCCAAGACTGAGCCCGGCCCTGCTGTTGCCACGGTGAGGAAACAAACGGCATAATCAGACGTGTAGCTCTGCTGTGATTAATGTAGTGGAGTGCTAAAGAGAGATGTGATTTTTCCTTTACAGGGATCATGTGTTGGTCTCAGGCGGAGCTTTATGCTCTCCTTATTTTGGCATGGAGCACACATGCACCTCACAAAACACACACACACACACACACATGCTGACAATGATAAAACTGCTCTACTGTTGCCAAAGGTGCTTCAAGGGTTCAAGTCTTATTAATTTCAGGTTTCTGAACTAAAATACTATTAAATTCTGCCTATCTAGAATATGTTGTTGTTATTATTGCATGCTTTTTTATAATACTACAACACACTGAGATACAAATAACATCTGCTGCTATTTGCACTAAGCCATCCTTTAAATATAGCTGGACTTAAACTCAAAAAACTAAAAAGATCCTCTAACCTCAGACATCGTTTTAGATTAATTACTCCACACCTGTTTCTGTTTCTCCCTGATTGCCCTCTCCTATTATTTAAGCCCTGTGTTTTGCCCTAGCTCCTTAGTTCCGGCATTGATGTGATGTTGATTTAAGTTTATCTCCTGCATTTCTCCTGCCTGTGGATTTATTAAAGGACTTTCTTGTTTATTTCTACTCCTGCGTTGTGTGCTTTCTACAGCCACGCAACACGAATTAAAGGGGTCATAGGATGTTGCTAAAAAGAACATTATTTGGTGTAATGAAATGTGTTTATGCGGTTTAAGGTAAAAAAAACCCACATTATTTTCCACATACTGTACATTATTGTTTCTCCTCTATGCCCCACCTTTCTGAAACGCGTCGATTTTTACAAAGCTCCTCGTTCTAAAAAAGCGAGGTGTGCTGTGATTGGCTAGCTATCCAGTGCGTTATGATTGGCCGAATACCTCAAGCGTGTGATGGACATGTTACGCACCTTGCCATACTGTGATGATGCCCTGTCAGGCCGGAGCGATGATTCAAAAACATGAAAACCCATTATAAACGAGGCATTCGTTGCATCCAGTGGGGACATAATTATGGATTATAATGACTTACAACTAGTTAATAGTGAGAATTGGTCCCTAAACTAAAGTGTTACCTCTTTTTCTTTTGTTTTGATTGTTTTTATTTTAAAAGTTCTTAAAATTTTTATGATTTAATTAATTGAGCATTTTGTCAATACACCAATCTATGGCATTTTTCTCATATTTGCATCAAACCTTATCTTAAAGTGTTGAGCCTGGTGAATCTGTGACATTAACAAAGTATTTGCAATTTAAATAAAAAATATCGTACATACAAAGCAACTTTTGGTCTGCCATCAATGAATCCAAAGCAATAGTAAGTAATAGTAATAGATAAAATAAGTAATAGATAAGTATTGCTGTTGCTACTGCTGCTTATATTTAGAGTTAAATGTCTTCATTTAAGAGTGATAAACTCAAGCGTGCAACTCATTCCTCACTGTCGGGTCAGTCCATCTCAAGTGGTCCAGTGGAGATTGCTTGCTCGCCATTTGGTATTTATCGGTTTCGTCTTTATGTCAAAACTCAAAGACCTTCACTACAACCTGCCAAATAAAAGTTTGGTTTAACTTTATGGAATATAATGCAATTTGTCCATGTTTAAATAATTTGCTAAAAAATGTAAGGAATTGTTTAATTTAAAGTATTTAAATTTTATTTTATTACATTTTCGAAGATTCATTACATTTTTAAAGTTTTATGCATTCATTTTATCACCACAGTTATTTGATAATAAATTTGTATTAAATCACAAAATATAAAATCCAGAGAAACTAAAACAAACAAGACATAATTTCTGAAAAATAAAAACCAAACATATTTCATAGAACACAATAACACTTTAAAAAGTAATTATAACAGTAAAAGACTATAAAAATGTTACAATTAAAACTTGGAAAACTGTAATAGATTGGGACATTAAATGTAATTGTAGTAAAAGGAAAAATAACAAGTTATCTTATAATTTACAATAAAAAAATATATAAATGGACACTCAGAATTCAATTTGATGTTTCTTCTTAGTTTTTTTCTTATCAGTTATTGAATTATTTTAGTGTGATGTGTGGTTTGATGGTCAGACTCAGTAGCCTATACAGTATGTTAAAGTATCAGTATATGTTAAAGGTTTTGTTAATTTTAACTACAATTTTTTAAATTTTAATTTTAGTGTTTTAAAACCATTTTTTAAAAACTTTTTTTAACAATAAAATTTGCTGGTTGTTCTAAGTGAAAGTGTAAACTAAGTGTAAAGTTTTTTAAATTTTTACTGTATAACAGATACCAATTTTGTTTTGTAAAAACAACAGGATTTGTTTTACAGTGTATTGTTACATTTTTAATGAATTATTAAATTGTTACAATTTTCTTAATTTAATTGACTAGACCTCCCTTTTGATTATTAAATTTTAATCAAACCATTAAAATGGAATCCAGAAAATTTTAAAACACAGACTTTTGGGGCAAAAAAAAAAAAAAAAGGAATTTCACAGGACCATATAAGCAATCACCTAGAAAACCCTAGCAACCTCAAAAGCAAGATGCTAAAAACACTTAGCAATCAGATCCTGGCATCCAGCCACATGACCCAGCCAGCAGTGTGAGGAGTTGGACCGATTTAAGCAGAAAATCAATTGTAATGCTGTGGATTCCTTTGTAATTAACACTGAATACACATTTCACACACATTCCATTTCCTCCTTCAAAACAAATCACAACAGTCCATCCACACAAACACGTTTGTGAGACACATGCTCGCTGACATCTGCCATGAGAGTGAGTGAGTGTGACTTGACTTTTGTCCTGACAGTAATCTGTGCTTTATCCTTCCCATCACCATCTGCTACGCTTCCTCTGCGGCTTCATTCTCCAACACACACACACACACACACACACACACACACACATTCAATATATTCAAATCAGAACAACTGTCAGCAAGAATGGAAATTTTGCTTCTAATTCCAGTTAACATTTTTGCCTAATGATTCCATAAGTGTATTTCTACCTGATTTAACCCATTAAAAATAGTTTTCTTGGTAAATATTGATGTATATGGATTAATTCAGTGCAAGGTTATTATCATTAACAAAAAATAGTATTTTACAATCATTTTGTCACCAATGATGACATTGATGTCATTTTTCAAAACTCTAGACACAAAACTCAAAACAGTCATTATTTGTAACACAGGCTGTCCAATGTTCAAAACTTTGCATATTGCGCTCATATCTTTAAAGAAGCCTTGCATTTGCAGAAGCATTGGTTCATTTGATGAAATAAAATCACAACATACGTTTTCCAAAGAAAAAAATGCATCTATGTTTTGCAGAAGCATTGGTTCAAAAAACTCATTTGTTATGAAATATCATAGGAACATTACTTGAGATCACCCACACGCAAGATACCCATAGTTTCATGGTGTAGATTTAGTACAATCATTAAATATAGCTGTTCAAAACACATGATGCAGCTTTCATTATGGTTCTACGCATTCATTGATTCTATGGTTTATTCATTGCTTCTATTGGTTTGTGGTTCTGATTATTTCATCAATAATTTTCAAATTTTGTTTACAGTAATGATTCCAGTATCTGTACTTTTCTCTCTAGTCTATTACAAGGATGTATAAATGTGTAGAATAATGCTTTCATTATTCTCCATCAGAACGTTTCATAATGCTGCATCATGTGTTTTGAACAGCTATATTTACAGTTTTTTTCAATTGTTTACACGCAATTTTGAAAACCGGGTTCTTTTTTTCACAATATAAGCACAATTATCCAAACACCACACTCAATTTGCATAATTCCTAGATTGTTTGCAAAATGACACACTTCAGTCAAAACATACACACTTCAGTCAAAACATACACACTTCAGTCAAAACATACACACTTCAGTCAAAACATACACACTTCAGTCAAAACATACACACTTCAGTCAAAACATACACACTTCAGTCAAAACATACACACTTCAGTCAAAACATACACACTTCAGTCAAAACATACACACTTCAGTCAAAACATACACACTTGCATATTGCGTTCATATCTTTAAAGAAGCCTTGCATTTGCAGAAGCATTGGTTCAAAAAACTAATTTATTATGAAATATCATAGGAACATTACTTGAGATCACCCACACGCAAGATACCCATAGTTTCACGGTGTAGATTTAGTACAATCATTAAATATAGCTGTTCAAAACACATGATGCAGCTTTCATTATGGTTCTACGCATTCATTGATTCTATGGTTTATTCATTGCTTCTATTGGTTTGTGGTTCTGATTATTTCATCAATAATTTTCAAATTTTGTTTACAGTAATGATTCCAGTATCTGTACTTTTCTCTCTAGTCTATTACAAGGATGTATAAATGTGTAGAATAATGCTTTCATTATTCTCCATCAGAACGTTTCATAATGCTGCATCATGTGTTTTGAACAGCTATATTTAGTTGTAAAGTTTTGAAAAAAAAAGGCAAGGTTTTGAAAATGTGTGTAAGCAGTTGAAAAAAACTGTAACAAAAACTATAATGGTATATCAGCGATACTGAAATAACACTGCTTCATGATTTGTCTTGAAGAAAAACAGTTATTTTAGATTAAATTTTTTTCAGTGTGTATAGAGCTCAACTATACAAAAACAACAAAGCTTGCAACCAGCAAACCACAAAAAGTGAAGCAGCACAACTTTTTTCAACATTTAAAATCAGAGATGTTTGAGCAGCATATTAGAATGATTTCTGATGCTGTCACATTCCTGTCACAGGAATAAATGACATTTTAAAATTTGAAATCGAAAACAGTTTTTTTCAATTGTTATAGTATCGCAATCTTGTTTTTACTGTGTTTTTACTATGTTTTGTCTACAATCACATTCAGTTGAAGCTGCAAACTGCTGCTGTTGATTTTCAGTGTGTTTTTAGTACAGTGTTCGTCCCACATCAGCAGAAGAATGCAGATGTTCAATAAGCATTAGTTCAGCCGAACATAATGAAAATAATTTCACTACAAACTGAAGCAGTTCTGTTTCTGGATTCCTGTCCTGTCAGTGGTTTTAGTTCCTCTAGAGGTGTAGATTTACCTGATTTGTCAATGTGATCCCACTGTAATTAATCCTTCCTCCTCAAAGGTCAGCAGCGGACACGCTTCCCTTGTGTGTGTGTGTGCGTTTGTTTCATTCATGCACTGTTTATCTTGTATATTACAGTCTTAAAGGGGTCATATGATGTGATTTCAAGTTTTCCTTTCTCTTTGGAGTGTTACAAGCTGTTTGTGAATAGATAAGATCCCTGAAGTTGCAAAGACTAAAGTCTCAAACCCAAAGAGATATTCTTTATAAAAGTTAAGACTGGTCCACGCCCTCCTAAAACGGCTCGTTCTAACACGCCCTCACATGTCTACGTCACTATGTGGGAAGATTTGCATAACGCTGCCCAAATGTTCACGCAAAGAAAGAAGGCGTAACTTTTATTCTCGCTGTAGTATTGTT